GAGTGCAGGCACGTTGGCAATGGTGTTCTCTTGGGCAGGAGCCAGCGCTGGAGGCAGTTGCTTGGATTCTTGAAGTCTTGTGGATTAACCCTTTGGGAGCTCTCCTTGGCTGGGCTGTACTGTGCTCAGAGCCAGTCCCCATCCAGTCCCTAAGCACAGTACAGGGGCAGGGACTGGGACTGAGCTGTCCCTCCAAGCTTTCTGCCCTTCCAAGCTGTTTCAGGTCTCCAGCAGTCAGGGGTGCAGGGAAGGGTGTCTGTCCTGTAGCAGACTTGGCACTCAAGGGCCACAGAGCCTCCTCTGCCCATGCTGGGAGAAGAGGGAAGGAGGGAAGCCCTGACCAGTGGACACCCAAAGGATTTGGGGGCTGCTTGGGGCCTGGTGTTCCCCCCTGAAGCTCCTGCTGCTGCACCCATCTCCCACCAGCCCAACCCAGTGCAGACATCGGGTGTGGGGTTCCTCTTCCCCACATTGGTCATTGATCCAACTGCTTCTCCCAGTGCCTCCTGTGCTGCCCTGAGCTCCTGGGAACAGCCCCTGAGAACAGGAGCTGGGGCTGCTGCAGGCTCAGTGCCTTGTTTCCCTGCAGGAGGAGAAGGTTTATGTCCAGCACCGCATCCGGGAGAATGGGAAGCTGCTGTGGGACCTGCTGAGCACTGAGAATGCTCATATCTACCTGGCTGGGTGAGTGAGAGCTCTCTCTGCAGGGCTTGAGGGAGCAGGGCTGCACATTTCTGCTTCTTCACCCATCTGGAGGCGTTTCCTCGGCTCAGCCCCGTGTTGCAGAGGGGCAGCTCATTTCTCCTCTCTGTCCTGCTCCAGGAGCCCTGGGCTGGGAGGGACGTTTGTCACCTACCCCATGCTCCCCTTAGGAGGGCACAGCTGGAACTGGTAAAGCTTCTCCAGCCAATGCCACCTGCCCAACCCTCCCCCTGCAGCCTCTGACCCACAGCACATCCACACACAGCAGAGGCCCGGCCCCTGCACAGCCCTTTCCTCCAGCACTGCTTGATGAAACTGGACAAAAGGCTTGTGTGGCACCTGTGGCAGGTGGGCAGGATCCCCAGTGCTGCTGGGCTCAGGAGCAGCTTTGGGAGCCTTGGCACACTCTCTGACTCTTTGCACCCAGAGCTGCCTCCCGGGGCAGTGACCAGCCCTGTTGCACCCCAGCCAGTGTCCCTGCACAGCTCAGGTGCCTGTCTGGGGCTGGTTGCACACCTGGAGGGTGGCTCTGGCTTTGGGGTCAGAGTGCTGGCAGCTCTGCTCTGAGCTCTCAGAGCCCTGCAGTGCAGGGAGGGGCTGCTCCCCGTGCCCAGGGTGAGCCTCGGGCAGTGCCCTGTGCTGCTGGGCTGGGCAGAGCCCGCCCATGGCGTTTGCCGTGCCCCCTGTGACCTGGGGAGGGCGGGCCTGGGCCCGGCTGTCACACAGCAGCGAGTGCAGGAGGTTCTTTCCTGCCTGTCCTTCAGGAGAGCAGGAACTGCCCTGGTGCCTGGCAGGGCAGGACTGGCCTCGCTGCATTCCTGGGACAAGAAGATTGGTGTTTACTTCCCAGGAAGTGGAGGCCAGGCCACGCCACTGTGTCCTTCACTGCTGCAGCACAGGGCTTCCTGGAGCCTCACCCCAACCTGGGCATTCCTGCCCTTGGCTCTGGGCTTTGGAGCACTTGGGATTTGGGGATGTGCCTCCATCTACAGCCCAAACGCTGAGAATATTGAACTGTTGGGTCATGGCTTTGTTCTCTCCTTCCATTCTCTTTCCTGCTTTTTGGTGCTGATGGAGATCCCCAAAGAGAATCAGTTTCTAGGAAAGGGCAGGGCCTGCACGGCTGTCCCCATGGCAGATTTTGTGTGGCCCTGAGGATGGTATTTGGACATCAGGGTTGCTCTGAGACTCCTCTTGTTGGCAGCTTTGTCCTGGTGTGGGGTGTCCCTGAGCCCCCATCAGCCAGGTGGCATCCAGAGCCTTGGGATCCCTGCACAAATGACATTGTGCTGATGGCAGAGGACACTGTTCCTCCTTTCCTGAACAGCCCAAACCCTGTAGAAAAGCTTCCAGGATCACCATGCCCCCACAGCTCACAGACTGAACTGTCAGTGAGCTGCAGGCAGGAAAGCGCAGGTGGGTGATCCTGTTTGCCCCCAAATTCACAGTCTCAGCCAGGCTGGGAGAAAGCTGGGGGAAGTGACTCCCGAGCTGTGTGCCCCTGAGCAGCAGCCCTGGGCCATGGGACACTTTTCTGCCTTCCCTTCTGGGGCCAGGGGGCTCTGGGGAGCCACGGCTGCATCTGCTCTATGATTGTTCCTCACTTGTCTCACTCAGGGGCAAAAAGGTTGAAAATGTCTCTTTTTCTGAAAAAAAAAAAAAAATAGCTATTTGACATGTTTTCCATCACAAAGCCCAGCTCCATTATCTTGTACTTGCATATCAGTGCCTGACTCAGAAACAATGCGACTCTTCCAAAAAAAGAAGACCTCCTTTCTGGGTATTTTGGGATGTTAATCAGCTTCAAACGCAAGTCAGAATTCTGCCTTGTTCTTGGGAAACAGCAAGGACGTTGCCAGATGCTCGTGCCAATTGGAGCAGGCTGGGAAATTTTTTATTAGATGGTTTTTTTTGTCGCACAGGCAGTTCATCAAATGAAATTCTCTCCAGGAAAAAAAAAAGTCAGAATTTCTGATTTCCCATAAGAAATAATTGTGCTTGAAAGCGCTGTGTTCTGTTTGGGTATTTTCTACACAGGGGCTCGATGTTTTCTCCAGCATTTCTCTGATTTTGAGGTTTGAACTGGCTTTGGTTCCAAATGCCACTATCAAACCAATCATTCTGGATTTCCTGAGAGCAGGCAGCAGCAGGACAGGAGCGGCTGCTCTGCCCAGCTGAGGATCAGACATGTTTGACATTGAGTGATTCCAGAGATGAAAGGACAGGTTCCTGCCTTCCTGCTGATAAATTCCAACCCGTGCATGTTGCCTGTGTCTCTCTAATGAGGATGCTGGCAGATGCAGCTGTGTGGGGCTGGTGTTTGGGCTCCTGACCTGTGGTGCTCCTTCCCTGGGCTCTGGGGCCCATGGCCACGTTTTTGCCTGTGCTGAGGAGCCCTGTGGATAACAGCCCTGCTCTTGAGGGAGTGCTAGGAGCTGCCTCTCAGGCCTGTCATTTACCCTGTGCCAGGACAAGGCAGGTTCCCACTGCCCTGTGGTGGGCTTGGCCACAGGGACTGCTGATTGCTGATCCTGGAGCACTGGGGCTGCTGCTCTGCCCCCTGTGCTCCTGCTCACCCTCCACTGTGTCCTGCTCTCTCCCCAGGAATGCCAAGCAGATGCCAGCAGCAGTGGCTGAGGCCCTGCAGTCGGTGCTGCAGCAGGAGGGTGGCCTGTCCCCCTTGGAAGCAGAGGAGCATTTCACAGCCCTGGAACGGTCCCGGCGCTTCCAGTCTGAAACCTGGTCCTGAGCCTGGCTCCTGCCTCCCCTCCCACTGCCTGAATAAAGGAGCCAGCAAAGGGATCTGCCTCTGGCATCTTGCTTGGGCTGGATTTACCCAACAGCCCCTCCCTGACAGCAGCAGGGCCATGGCAGTGGGGGGACCCCATCTCCTGTGCCCACACCCCACCAGAGCAGGGGCCAGAGGTCTCTTGGGGGTTCTGCTGGTTGGCTTCGGTGTGGGCTGATCTGCCCCCCATGCCCCAGCCCCAGGGGTCCCTGTGTGGGGTGGGTGGCACCCAAGGGTGTTGCTGGAGCCGTGGAAGTGGCAGTGGCCACTGTTTGTGGCAGGGCCAGAGGAAGGGAAGTATTGCATGGGAGTCTCTCCACCCCAGCATTACTCAGCAGCACTTGCTGCAGGAGGAGGCTGCCTGGACAGACCTGTTCCCCCTGCTTCCAGTGGGCAAGGCCAGCAGGCACAGGCACAGGAGGAAGCCTTGATGCCTCTGTCTCTGCTGCCAGTTCATCATCCTAAGCCTGCTGAGTCTGAGCTCCAAGTTCCTGCTGAGTTATCCCTTTCCTTGAATGCCTGCTCAGCTGCATGTCTCCTCCACCCCATCCTGGGAGCTGCTTCCAGCCCTTTCCCTGCAGCCTCGAGGCTGTGCACCCTCCTGGCCCTGCCCGTGCCCCAGTGGGACCAGTGCCACCACCTTCCTCCCCCAGTTCAGGGAACTGGGTGCCACTGCGTAAATAGCAATTAGGAGCAGGGCATGAGTCAGCAGGGACATTCCCTGGGAGCAGGCTGGGACAGGAAGGGACAGCTGTGCCACGCCATGACTGTGACCCAGCCACCCTCCCATGGTGGAGTCATGGGGTCCTGCAGGGCTGGGCAGTGCCTGGGGCATTGCTGGAGCTGTGGTGCTGCAGTGAGGGGGAACAGGGACATTTGGGGGCTCCCCACCCCACTGCTCTGAGCAGCTCTTGTGCTGGCACACCCTGGCTGGGCTGTGTCCATGTGCCAGGGACAGTGGGGCTGCTGCAGAGCTGCATGGCAGTCACCACCCTGGGGCCACCATCCCCTCATCTGGGGCACTGTCCCGGTGGGAAACCTGGAAGGAAACTTCCAGGCCCTGCAAGCTGCTTGTGGGACGTGACAAGGAGAGGTGGCCCTGCACAGGGACCAGCGTGGGGGACAGGGAGCTGGACTGGGGCCGTGCAGGGCCTGTTCTGGGAACTGTCCTGGGGCAGCGCAGGGTCGGGGCTGAGACTGTCCTGGGGCAGTGCTGGGGCTGTACAGGGTCTGTGCTGGGGCTGTCCTGGGGCAGTGCAGGGGTCGTGCCGGGGCTGTGCTGGGGGACTGCACTGGAGGAGCACAGGGCCGTGTTGTGAGGCTGCACTGGAGGAGCACAGGGCCGTGTTGTGAGGCTGCGCTGGTGGAGCACAGGGCCATGTTGTGAGGCTGCACTGGAGGAGCACAGGGCCATGTTGTGAGGCTGTACTGGAGGAGCACAGGGCCATGTTGTGAGGCTGTGCTGGTGGAGCACAGGGCCATGTTGTGAGGCTGCACTGGAGGAGCACAGGGCCGTGTTGTGAGGCTGCACTGGAGGAGCACAGGGCCATGTTGTGAGGCTGTACTGGTGGAGCACGGGGCCGTGTTGTGAGGCTGCACTGGAGGAGCACAGGGCCGTGTTGTGAGGCTGCACTGGAGGAGCACAGGGCCATGTTGTGAGGCTGTGCTGGTGGAGCACGGGGCCGTGTTGTGAGGCTGCACTGGAGGAGCACAGGGCCGTGCTGCCGTGCCCCAGGGTCAGGGGTGTGGGCAGCACTGGGGACAGAGGTGACTCCGCTGGTGCTGGGCGCGGAGAAGAGGCGGCCGTGTGCCCAGCTCCTCCCCAGCCCCGGCGGGAGCTGATTGGCGCAGGCACGGCTCCTGCCCCGGGCTCCCTGCATTTGAGCCACTTCCAGAAGCTGACAAACCAGACTGGTTACAGCCCGGCTCGGCCCCAGCCCTGCCTGGCCCACGGCAGGAGGCAGCTGCCTGCGCGGGTGCCCGCCACGCCTGCTCCCTTCTGGCACAGCGGGCAGCGCCCAGCTCGGTGCCCTCTCCTCCGGACCGTGGCGGGTCAGTACTGCATTGCTGCTGGGGAGGAGGAAGAGGAGGAGGAGGAGGAGGAAAAGGCTGCTGGATGCTCACGGTGCTGCCCCTCTTGGGGTGGCCTCGGTGAGGGTGATGGGGCTGCACCAGGCGCTAGAGGCTCCTGACCCAGCGCTCCGGGAGGGCGCCCCAAAGCGCCCCGGAGGGATGTCGGGACTCTGTGCGGACACTGCTGCCTCCAAACCCTTCGGGCAGCCCTGCTGAAGGATTCTCCTGCCCTGGAGCAGCACCCACGTCCCGCACCCAGCCCCGAGGGGACCCGGCGGGCGGGGGCCGAGCGGGGTGGCTGCTGTGGCCGCCCCGATGGAGCCGGCGGCGGGCGAGGGGGCACAGCCCGGGCCGGTGCCGGCAGCCGGTGGGGAAGGATATGCCGGGCAGCGGGACCAGAGCGAGACCGCGGGGCCGGGGGACCCCGGGGAGCCGCCCCAACGCTGTGGAGAGGAATCTGCTGCTGCCTGGAGATGCTGGGAGCTGCCACGGACGGAGGATGCCAGGGAGCCGCTCCTGCCCGGGCATGAGCAGCCGCCTGCCCTCGGTGCCTCCCTGCCTGCGGGGCAGGACCCTCCCCGCGGGGAGAGCCCACGGCCCGGCTCCCAAAGCGTCTCCAGCTCCATCCTGAGCCTCTTCGGCGAGGCGGAGAAGGCCCCGAGCGGCGGCGGGGCAGGGGCAGCGGAGCCGTGCCCGGTGCTGGCGGGCGGCGAGGACGAGTGCCCGATCTGCACGGAGCCCTACGACGAGCAGCGGCACAAGGCGGCCGTGCTGAACTGCAGCCACGGGCTGTGCCGGGCCTGCCTGCGCGCCATCATGGACACGGCCACGGGCGCCGAGCTCGGCCGCGTGCGCTGCCCCATCTGCCGCCAGAAGACGCCCATGCTGGAGTGGGAGATCTGCAAGCTGCAGGAGGAGCTGCTCCTGCTGCACGCCCAGCCCGGCTCCCCCGCAGCCCTGGCCACCCCCCGGCCCCCTGCCCTGCCGCCCCGGCGCCCGGGCCTGGCCGGCGCCCTCGAGCATCGCTTCCAGGTGCGCTTCCACACCAGCCGCATGTTCGGCTGCCTGCCCTGCGTGCGGTACCCGCCCTGCCTCATCCGCGCCCTGGCCCGGCTGGAGCGGCGCTGCCGCTGCTGCTACCTCGTGCTGCTGGCGCTGCTGCTGGCCGCAGAGATGCTCAGCCTGCTCCTCATCTTCCTCCCCATCCTGCTCATGGTGATGCTCTTCCTCATCCTCGACAAATAGCGCTGGCTTTGTGCCCTCGGGCTGAGCGTGCGTGGGGAAGGAGCCCGGCCCCGGCTGTGCCCGCGGCCGCGGTGCCAGCGGGGAGCAGGTCTGTGACCCTGGTACCCGGGACACCTGGCACTGCCCGTGAGCCCGGGCCGGGGGAGGCAGCGCAGAAGCAGGAGCAGGAGCCGGAGCAGAGGGAGGCGACCCTGGAGCTGGGCATGACCTGCACCGCGGTGACATCGCTGCCGCAGCCAGGGGGCGGATGGAGTGGGGCACATTCCTGCCTGGGGCACATCCCTGCCTGGGGCTGGGCACCAGAGAGGCTCTGCGGGCAGAGCAGAGCTGTGCCATGGACTGTGCCACGGGCTGTGTCATGGACTGTGTCATGGACTGTGCCATTGCTGTCCCATGGGCTGTGCCATTGCTGTGCCACGGGCTGTGCCATTGCTGTGCCACCTGCACCCAGGACAAAGGGGCTGGGATCCCCCAGCATGCACTGAAAATACAACCTGTGTTTGTCCCACAGCCGTGTCCAGCTGAGTTCAGCGCTTGGTCTCAGTGTGTCCCCCTGGGGCCTGGCAGTGCCACAAGGAGGGAATGGGCACAGCCAGTGCCCCCACCTACGAGGGGAGCGTGCTCCACCATGGCACCTGCCAGCCCCTGCCGAGCCGTGCCAGCCCGTGCTCAGCCCGTGCCCTTCGGGGAGATAAGTGAGCAAACACGGCTCACTCAGTGCCACACACGGGTGGAGGAGCCTGTGCTGAGGGGCACTGGGGCTGTGCCCACACGGGCCCTGCCATGGAGCAGGAGTGTCCCAGGGCTGAGCAGGGTCTGGGCTCTGCCTTTGCCAGCCTCACGTGGGGGCCACACGCCAGCCAGGGGATGGCTGGGTCACAGTGTGGCTGCTCTGCACCCTTGTTCCTCCCCAGGGGGACAGGGATGGGGATCTTCCCAGGCTTTCAGCCACCTTGGGGCTGGTGGTGGGTGGAAGGGAGCTGTCAGACCCTCGAGGTCCTGCCAGGATTCCATTTCAGGGATGCTGACAGCCACCTCCACAGGCTGGAATGTGCAGCAGTCTGTTTGTCACTCTGGCCTCCTCTGGGTGTCCTGCCAAGGCTCTGTGCTGACCCCATGCCAGTTCCCCCCTCCCTGTGCTGTTCCCCCTCTCTGTTCCCTCAGCCCAGCCCTGCTGGGGGCTGGTGACACTGCTGTGTCCTGTCCTGCCTGGCTGTGCTGGGCTTGTGCAACCATCCCCTGTCCTGGCTTTGCCCTTCTGCCCTGGAAACACCCTTGGGCACCTCCCCAGGGTTGTGGCTGTGGAAGACAGGGTGCCAACCCCCTCTTCCTCTTCCCCTTCCTCCTGCCCAGAAGCTGGGGGGTTGAGCAGCCAGCAAGCACTGCTGTGCCCCCAGAGCCCCACAGAGAACCCCTGTCCTTGTGCCCAGGAGGGCAGAGACTGGGGCTCTGGGCTTTGCCAGGACACTGCTGCCATGGGCTGCTCTGGCAAAGTGCTGAGGCACAGGGTGGGAGCAGGGCACCCCAAAACAGGTCAGGTCAGCAGGCAGAAGCAGATGGGTCCCCCCAGCCCGGGTGGCACCAAGGAATATTTATTTATACCAAGTGGAGCAGCTCCATCAGGAGAAGTGCCAGTTCAGCCCTGGCTGGAGCGTTTCTGGCTCCATGGAGCCTGTGGGGAGGGGCAGCTCAGACACGGGGGGCCCTGTCACCTTGTGGGGACCCTGTCACCATGTGGGGACCCTGTCACCTTGTGGGGACCCTGTCACCATGGGGGGGCCCTGTCACCGTGTGGGGGCCCTGTCACCATGGGGGGGCCCTGTCACCATCTGGGGGCCCTGTCACCATGGGGGGGCCCTATCATCGTGTGGGGGCCCTGTCATCATGGGGGAGCCCTGTCACCATCTGGGGGCCCTGTCACCATGTGGGGGCCTCATGCCCCTGCCCTACATTGTGTGGGGGTGTTGGGGTGAACTAGGCCAGAGCTGCCCCCACGGGACACCCCCAGCCCTGCTGTGCTCCCTGGGCTGACTCCCTGGTTGGCACCTCTGGGTGCTGAAAGCTGAAGGGCACATCCATCCACCGAGAATGGGGTCCCTGGGGGCTGTGGGGTGGGATAGACCCTGTGGGCCATGTGGAGCCTGGCTGCAGTATCCACTCCCACAGCTGGGTTATATTTGGCAGCCTGGGATAATGGTGAGCAGGGCTGGGGGCTGGCAGGGCTGACCCAGGGCTGATGCAGGGCTCCTGCCACGGGCACAGCTTCCAGCACAGCCCCCCAAACCCACCCAACCTTCCCACTTGCAGCCCTGTCCCCTCTCCCAAGCCCCTGACACCCCATTGCACCACCCCAAATGCTCCATGGCATCCCCCAGCTGGCACCTGCTGGCACCAGGTGATGTGGTGTCCCCAGAGCAGTGACTTGGCTGTCCCCATCCCTGCAGGGCCGTGCCCATTCTCTCCTGGCCTCTCCCACTGCAGCCCGCATGTCCCTGCTCTGGCCAGAGGCATCCCCGTCCCAACTGCACCACAGGCAGCAGCACCTTCCCTCCTGCACTCTGCCCCTCCTCTGGGGACACGTCCCCCCGCTGTGTCCCTCGGGAGTTTGACCAGAGTGCCACCAGCCCCGGGGCCAGCACGGGGAGGGGACACGGAGCTGGCAGTGAGCAGGAGCCCAGGGCCAGCGCTCTGCTGGACTGACCCCAAGGGAGCTCCCGAGCTCATCGGTGCCTGCCCAGCCCTGCCCTGGGGACCGTCACAGCCGCCACCATGGCCGTGTCACAGCCGCCACCATCGCCGTGTCACCACCGCCACCATGGCCGTGTCACAGCCGCCACCATCGCCGTGTCACCGCGGGATGCGCTGTGAGAGCTCGGCACGGATCTCAGCACGGAGCTCCCTGGGCTGGAGCGGCCGCTCGGGGCTGGGACCTCTGGGGCTCCGTGTCCCCAAGGAGGGCTTGGCCCTGGTGCTTGGCCAGGTCCCTGCAGAGGGAAGGGGAGCTCCCCATGGCCCGGCACAGCCTCGCTCGCCTCTTGGCATCCAGGGGCTGCTGCTCCTGCCGTGCCACCCATGAGGCAGCATGGGGGTGCTGGGGACACCCCATGGGCACCAACGGGGCACTGCCAGCGCTGCCACTGTCCCTGCAGGAGCAGAACAGCCCCAGGCACCGCGAGGCTGCAGGAGCTGCTTCTCACAGAATGCTCTGGGTTAGAAAGAACCCATCAGGATCATCCAGTCCAACTCCTGGCCGTGCACAGACACCCCAACAATCCCACCTTGTGCCTGAGAGCATTGTCCAAATGCTTCTTAACTCTGGGGAGAATGACTGGCAAACACCACACCCCAAACCCATGCCAGAGGCTGAGCCCAAACCAGGCCGAGCCCAAACCAGCCCAATCCTGGCCCTTCCCACCTAAAATGAGGACATTTGGGATAAGGATCACCCCCAGGAGCAATTTAACTCCCCACATCCTCTCTCCTACCATGAGCCAAAATGGACACTGGGAGAGCCCAGAGCTTCATCCCAGCCTGGGACAGATGTTACAACAAAGAGGAGATTTTAGAACCAGCTCACCTGGGAACATCTGGGAACATGTCTGCTCTCATGTGGCCAAACCTCCTCCTGCAGCAATGCCCTGGCCATGCTAAGCATCTCATAGGACTTAGAGATCTTCAAAAACTTAGCATGGAGGCACAAAGCTAGAATGGCCATGAGAGCATTTTAGGGGATGTGAAAGACTTTTAATTCACCTGCATCTGTGACACAAGGGCTGGCACCAGCCCATGTCCCTGTCCTCTGCAGGAAACCTGGCCCCTCTTCCAGCAAGTGCTTATTCGAGGTTAATAGGGCAGGAGAAATGGGTTCTCACCCAGAACTTGCTCCTGAAAGGCCCTATTTCTTCCTTAATTGCAACTCAAAATCAAATTAGCAGTTTTAAATTTACTCTGTGCCCAAGAGGTGCCACGAGTGTAGGTGAGAACACATTGTACCCTTTGTCCTTATGTAATAAAAAGGGTAAATTCCTACTGAGGGCAAAACTGCTGCCACCTCTGCTCTGGCTGGCCCACAGCTTCAGTGTCTGTGGGGACAGAATGCTCAGCCTGGATTTAATATGATCTTTTGGGGTGTCAGAGTTCTTTATCCTGGATTTGGCCTGAACCTCTGGGCTGATGGAGATGCACATCCTGGATGTGGGGCTGCCCCAGCTCCCCCAGCAGCTGCATGATTTGGCTCAGTGTGGGGCAGCTGTGACCACCAGGAGACCCCACACTGTGCCAAGGCTGCACAAAGGATGGAGGAATGTGGGTGCAGGGTGGGGATGCTGGTGAGGGCAGGGAGACAGGACACAGCTGCAGCACCCTCGGGGATGAGGGTGGCACTGGCTGCATTGTTGGTGCTGTGGTTCAGCACCCATGGGCTGGGAGGTGTTCTGTTCTCCAGGCACAGAAACCCCCCTGGGATGGGAACCAGCACACCAGGAAAAAGGGTCTGCAGCCACCCCTGCACCCTCCTGGGTGTGCTGCTGCTTTGGAAGCAGATGCTCCACCCTGGCCCAGAGCTGAGGGCAGAGACAGTCACTGCTCCTGGAGAAGGGAAATTTGGGGGCTGGCACTGGCACACAGTGCCTGACACCAGCCTGTGCCCACGCCAGCCAGGGTGTACAGCTTGTTCTGGGAGCTGCCTTGTCCTGGGGTCATCATCCCAGCTGCTTCTGCTGCAGGTTCCTGGCTCTCCCAGCTGTGGAGCTGCCATCCCAGTGACCCCGGGGTCCTTTGGGGCACACAGTGGGTTCTATGTGCTGGTGCTGCCAGCCCCAGGGCAGCTCCTGGGAATGGTGCAGAGGGGAGTCCATGAGTGCAGCTGCCTCAGCAGAACAGGGGAACCCAGCACTGCCCATGTGCCTCCCAGCTCCCTTCAACAGCAGGTCCCACCAAATGGCACATCCTCTCCCCAGTATCCCACATCACCTGGGGAGAAAGGGGATGTCCAGCGGGTGTTTGAGGGCTCTTGCTGTGGCTGGGGAGGG